TGAACTCTAGTTGAGGCGCAGGAGCTCAGTAGTTATGGCGTGCGGGCTTAGTTGCCCTGAGGCATGTGGGATCTTAGTTCCCCAATCAGGGATCGAACCCACGTACCCTGCATTGTAAAGCGGCTTCTTTACCACTGGACCACCAGGGAAGTCCCAGCTGAGTGGTTCTGACTTAGGTTCTCCCCATATGTTTGTGGTCAGGGTGTTGCCAGGGGCTGCAGTCATCTGAAGACTTGACCACAACTGGAGGATCTGCTTCCAAGATAGCTATTGACAGGGCTGTTGGCAGGAAGCCTCAGTTCCTCACCACGTGGGCCTCCCTAGAGGCTGCATGAGTGTTTTCATGACATGGCAGCTACATGAGCTAATCTTTAAAGTCACGCTCCATCACCCTGGTTTATTCTGTTAGTTAGAAGCAAGTCACTAAGTCTTAGCCACACTTAAGGGGAGGGTAGTTAGGCTCCAACCCTTGAAGTAAGGATATCATAGAATTTATGGACATAATTTAAAACCACCTCAATTACAAAAGGACAAAAAATAACTTTATATTGCAAAATCTGGTTGACACTCCATAATGAAGGGATCAAAACGAACATTATCAGTAACAAGACAAATTGAAGTGTTGTGTCACCTGACAGGAATACAGTGAGAAGAACACAGCACCTTTCTGTTATATTCCTGCCAAAAATACATGGCTTGAATCTAATCATATAGAGATGTCAGATGTTGTAGCCAGCCTCCAAGATGATCTCCAGTGATCCCTGCTTCATGTGTACTCTCCTCCAGAGAGTACCAGAGTTGGTCTGTATGACCAGTAGAATATAGCAAAAGTAATGGTATGTCATTTCCAAGATTGGGTGATAAAAGACTGACTTCTTTCTTGAGTTATCTTGGTCACTCTCCCTGGGTAAAGCCATGTTGTAAGCAGCCCTATGGAGAGGCCAGCAGGCAAGGAACTGAAGCCTCCCATTAGCCACATGAGTGAACTTGGAAGCAAATCCTCCAACTCAAATTGAAGCCCATTCTACAAAATAACTGGCTGTAATCATCAAAAAGTGTCAAGGTCATGTAAAGCAAGACACAGGCCTGAGGAACTCTTCCAGACAGAAGGAGACTAAAGAGACATGACAACATGTGCAACATTGATGCAGAACTGGATTTTGCTATAGAGAACGTTTTTGGGACATTTGATGAAACTTAAATGGGGTCTGAAGATTAAACTTAAATGGGATCTTGAAGGTATCAACATTAACTTCTTGATTTTGATGGTTACATTGTGTATATGAGAATGTCCTAGTTTATAGAAAACATGCAGCAAAGTATTCTGGTTTGATGAGGCATCAGGTTGGCAACTTACAAATGGCTCAGCAAAAACAGTTCACAAATGATTTAGGAAAAATAGTTCTTTGAACTGTACTTAACAGCTTTTCTATAAGGTTGTGACTATTTCAAAACTTTTAAAAGCTACATAAAGGAAAGCAATATTCCAATATTCTTACACATGTTATCTGGTATAGTTTTTTGTAGATTTCTATTGTGTAAGTACCTGCAAGTGGAATTGCTGGACTGTAGAGTATGCATTTCTTCAACTATAGTGGTTCTTGCTTTTTCTTAGGTTAGTAATGAGCACCTTTTCATGTTTTTATTAATTTGTTTCCCAATCCCATTTTTGTACTGCCTTTCCATCTTCCACTTTATCTTATTTTTCTATTGTACATAATTTCATTAATGATTCATAAGAGTTCTTTGTATACTTAAGATGAAGCTGTTGGCAAAATGTGTTACAAATATCTTCTCCCACTCTTTGGCTTCTCTTTTTACTCTCTTTATAGTATATTTTGATGAAGAGAAATTCTTAATTTTTGAAAATTCTTAATTTTAGTAATTCTAATTTATCCATCTTTTATGATTAGTGCTTTTTTAAAAATTAATGTATTTCTTTATTATTTTTGGCTGCGTTGGGTCTTCGTTGCTGCACGCGGGCTTTCTCTAGTTGCGGTGAGCGGGGCTACTCTCTGTTGCGGTACGCAGGCTTCTCATTGAAGTGGCTTCTCTTGTTGCGGAGCACGGGCTCTAGGCACGCGGGCTTCAGTAGTTGTGGCACATGGGCTCAGTAGTTGTGGCTTGCGGGCTCTAGAGTGCAGGCTCAGTAGTTGTGGCGCACGGGCTTAGTTGCTTCGCAGCATGTGGGATCTTCCCAGACCAGAGCTCGAACCCGTGTCCCCTGCATTGGCAGGCAGATTCTTAACCACTGTGCCACCAGGGAAGTCTTAGTGCTTTGTTTTTGTTTCTTAAGAATTCCTAACTCAATTATGTCACTTTTTTTATACTATCTTTTAAACCTTGTTTGACCAAGTTTGTAATCATTGTTGGCTTATGGTTAAGTCTTACTTTTGCCATGTGCATAACCAGTTGTCCCTACATCATTTATAATCTAACCTTTCCCCCCACTGCTCTTTAATGCCATGGTTGTCATAAATTGTTCATGTATACATTAGTCTATTTCTGGACATTCTGTTCTGTTCCACTGGCATATTTGTATATATTTGCTCCAATCTCACATTCTTACTTATTATAGCTGTATCATAAGGCACTGTCTTTTATTTTTTTCTTTCAGTCTTATTGAGATATAGTTGACATACAGCACTGTATAAGTTTAAGCATAATGATTTGATTTACATACATCATGAGGTCACTGTTAACAATAAGTTTAGTGAACATCCATCATCTCATATAGATACAAAATTAAAGAAACAGAAGAAAAAAAGATTTTTTCTTGTGATGAGAACTCTTAAGATTTACTCTCAACAATTTTCACGTATAACATGCAGCTGTTAATTTCATTAATCGTGTTGTACATTACATCCCTAGTACTTATTTATCTTATAACTAGAAGTTTGTACCTTTGACTGCCTTCATCTGGTTGCAGCTCCCCCTATCCCCCACCTCTGTTAACCACAAATCTGAACTCTTTTTTTTTATGATTTTTTTGTTTGTTTTTGAAATATCATTTACCTACAGCACCACGTTAGTTCCGGCTGTACAAGAAAGAGATTCAGTATTTCCGTACATTACAAAATGATCACCACAAGTCAATGTCTTTTAATCTAAGTCTTCCCTACTTGTTCCTTTATAAGGGTATTTTGGCTATTCTTGGCCTTTTGAATGTCCATATACATTTTAGGGAATAAGTTTAAGTTTCATACCAAACACCTGTTGAGATTCTGATTGGCACTGCTTTGAATCTATAGATCAGTTTGGGAAGAATGGACAGTTTACAATATTGAGTCTTTCAGTCTATGAACATGGTAATCCTTTTATTTAGCTACTTATTTAGATGTTTAATTTCTCAGTAATGTTTGTTTTCTGCATAGAATTCTTGCACATATTTTCTTTCACTTATTTATAAGTGCTTGTTATTTTTCAGGATGTTATAAATACCACCTTTTTTTTTTTTGCGGTACGCGGGCCTCTCACTGTTGTGGCCTCTCCCATTGTGGAGCACAGGCTCCGGACGCGCAGGCTCAGCGGCCATGGCTCACGGGCCTAGCCGCTCCGTGGCATGTGGGGTCTTCCCGGACCAGGACACGAGCCCGTGTCCCCTGCATCGGCAGGCGGACTCTCAACCACTGCGCCATCAGGGAAGCCCATAAATACCACCTTTTAAATTTTTATTTTTAACTGTTTTTGTTAATTAGAAACTCAATTGATTTTTATGTGTTGACCTAATATCTAATAGAAAGTTTGGCAAACGATAGTCCACTGAATCCTGCCTGCTGCCTGTTGTAGGCTTGCAAACCAAGAATGCTTTTTACATATGTTTGTATATATATGATCAATTTGATGATAGAGAACACTAATTTTGAACCTCAATTGAGTGAAATGTTATCTTATAGAAAAGAATTCCATTCTTCTCATTAATAAACCTCTTTTATTTGAAATATTTTCATTAATAAAATATTTGTAGAAATTTGTTTTCTCTCTTGTGATATAAATACCTTTGTAATATCTTAAATTTTGCCTCTTGGTCTGCAAAGCCTAAAATATTGACTCTCTGACACTTTATAGACAAAGTTTACTGACCCCAATATAAAACCTTCCTAAACTCACTTATGAATTCTAATTATTGAAAAATGTTTCGGGACTCCCCTGGCAATCCAGCGATTAGGACTCCACGCTCCTAATGCAGGGGGCAAGGGTTTGATCCCTGGTTGGGGAAGTAAGATCCCACATGCCGCATGACAGGGCCAAAAAAAAGTTTTTTTATCTGTAGAGTCTGTTGGATTTGCCATTTACATGATACATCATCAGTAAGGAATGACAATTTTCTTTCTTCCTTTCTAACTCCTTTATCTATTTTTCTTCACTTGCCACACCTTAATTCAATTTCAGGGACTGAGATTTTTCTTAATCTCCTAGGTGACTAGAAGCTGGGCTGCACTTGATAAGCAGTTGCTTTATTCTTAGAGTAAAGCCCTTCAGAGTCCCAACTCTGAATGCATAATTTGTCTCCCTTGCTCCTTATAAGTGGTGCTTGCTTACCCTCCTGAGTTGGGGAAAAAACCCCAGCACAAGAGTTGACTTAAACGTAGGACTGACCACTCTGGGTTTCCAGCTTCTTCCATATCTTGGCTTGGTTATTCTTTAATCTCTTGTTAGTTCTCTGATACCTCGAGCACATTGTTAAAAATGTTTTGACTGTCTTTTCTAGTTCTGAGCTGAAGAGTTGGTCTGAGTTACCTAGTCTGCCATTACTGGAATGGAATTGAAGAAAGAAGATTTGTACTCAGTTCTGTCTAACTCCCAGGTCCATGCTCTTAACCACTTACAATATTGCTCTGTGATTAAATCTAACAAATAATTTAAAGTGTAAAATGGTGCTTATTTTTGGATTGTACCTTTACATAAGCATCATTTTATGCTTATATTGTTTATGCTTCTCACGACAGAAAATGTCAGGTCAAAAATTTAAGGCCTGTATTCTATTTTTTACTCTGCAGTGAAGCAAATAAACAACATGTAAGATGTCAGAAATGCTTGGAATTTGGGCATTGGACTTATGAATGCACAGGAAAAAGAAAGTACCTACATAGGCCTTCAAGAACAGCAGAACTAAAGAAAGCTTTAAAAGAAAAAGAAAACAGATTATTATTACAGCAAAGGTAAGGTTACATATGGTATCCAAAGGAATATTTATTTGTATTTATAAAATTTATTAAGGGACTAAATATCTTATGGTGGTTATCCAGATTTAGATTATATTGTAATATTAGCTAATGTTTAATGAGTGTTACTGTGTGCCAGGCACCGTACTAAGGTCTTTACAATTATTAGCTTATTTCAGCATCACATCTATACTGTTAAGGTAAGTACTATTATAATTCCCATTTTACATATGAAGAAGCTGAGGCATGGAGAGATTCAGTAACTTGCTCAGTGTCACACAGCAAGTAAGTGGAAAAGTTAAGTGTTAAACCAACTAACCAGTCACCAGAGTGGAGAGATTCAGTAACTTGCTCAGTGTCATACAGCAAGTAAGTGGAAAAGTTAAGCGTTTAACCAACTAGCCAGTCTCCAGAGTCCATGCTCTTAATCACTTTGCTTTTCTTGCCTCAACTGCCAATGAAATGACAGCAGAATACTATGAGGTAGATTATATGAACTGATATGGAAAGATATCCAAACTAAGTACCCAAGATACTTATACTAAGTATATAAACAAGGTAGAGAACAGTATATATAATACACTATCGTTTATGTTAAAAAGGAAGAAAAAAGGAATAATGGAGCTTTTTGGGGGGGGGGAATATAAATGATTGATAATAGTGGTTCTTTTCTAGAAGGAGAACTGGGTAGGAGGGAAAAATTGTTATTTATCCTTTTATGCCCTTTGAATAAAGCTTTTCAAATTCCCATGAAATAAGTAAGCTTATGTGTTTCAGAGAAACTGAAACAGGAAGGTGTCAGGTCTACTTAGTGTTGCATATTAGAAGTAGCACCTTCATGAGGACCGTTAGCAATATAATAGTGTCTTAAACATCTGGATTTTCCAGGCAACAGTCTTCCAGTTTGTGGACAGGAAGACTCTTCAAGGGTTATACAGGAATAGACAGGTAATCAGTTTCTAGATTATCAATATTCATATATGTTTCTTCCAAAGATAAATCTGTATGAGACCTTGCCTACCCTTCTCTAATTTCACAAAAGAAAGGCATACCTCTCGCCTATCTCTAATCTTACCTTGGTATATTGTGCTCATGTATAAAATCCTAGAGACTTTTCAAAATACTGGTGTTTGTAAGAAAGTAAAAGGCCCAAATTATTGGGAGCAAGTTCTTTTGTAATTTTTTTTCCCAGCAAAATTGAAGGAGGATCTAATTGAGTTGTCCATTTAAAAGTACACTTTAATGATACGTCGTTATGTGACTTGTGGAATATAACATGGGAGGAATTCAGAGAACTGAGTGACATTGCTACATCAAAACTCTTTCTATTCCCATCTACCTGTTCAGGTTAACAAGCTTTCTCAGGGTTAAATCTGTAAAAGTTAAATATAGGAATTAAATTGATACTGAACCCTGTCATAGTCAAGCAATAAGATCCATGGATATATAAGCTAGAAAAAAAAAATCCATGTCATTAAGAGGTACAGTTCCAGTGAAATTTTTTTATGTATAATAGTTACTAAAATTTATATTTTACATTGTTTTAATCAATTTGTATAGTAGTAATGATAATGGTAATTCAACTCAGAATTTTTAAACACTTTTAAAACCTTATGATCACAAGTAATTAAAAGATACAATATTAAGTTATGTCTATTTTTATTGCAGAGAAATGTAAGTGATCACTAAAATTTTCAGGCATGAAAATATATTAGGATACATTCTGTGGCGAAAGGAGAATAAAAATTCAAGTTCAAAGAGGAAAAGGGACAGTGTAAAAGTACCAATTATTAAAGATAAGCTTGTTCATTTATTTTTTTTAAATTAATTATGATACATATCAAATTTTGTGGTATTTACAATTACCAAAATGATGTAACGATTTTCTTTTTAAAATATCAATATTTAATATATAATATGCCAGACTTTATACCCTTTGAGGGGAAAAACATAATTTTTCAAACTTCTTTTATCAGGAATGTAAGCAAAAAATATTTGAAGACCTCTGTCCTAAAGAATAAAATATAAGAGTTATGAATAATTTCATTTCAACATTTACTTTTGTTTTTCTAGTTGTATTACACAACTATCTTGGTCTTAAAAATACATAGAACTACATGAATTTTAGTTTTGGCTCTGTTACGTAAAGACTGCTGATTTTTTGGTTCAATGATAAAATTATGGAAGTGTGTGAATTTCAGTGATCTTGCATTCTTGTGGTGTGAATTAACAAATGTACTTCTACCACTTATTTTACTGCAAAAATTACAATTCTCCAATAAGTAATTTCATCGTGTAAAACAGCTTTACATAAATACATATTTATATTTGAGGACCCAGGAAATAAGGATATAATGTTATCTAGGAAATATAGAGAAGTTCAGAATATAAAAATGTTAAATTTACAGGACAGTATATAGTAATAGAAGTAAATCTGTAATTTGAAAGCCTGATTTAGTATGCATGCTGTTTGGCAGCTATATATCAGCAAGCCATTTGTGTATTTCACTCAGAAATCTCCAGACTTTGTTCTTTATAAATAATGTGAGGGAACACAGTCTTGAAGTATTAAGTCTCTGGTTCTTAAGCAGTAAATAACTGAACATTTGGGGGACATGCAGAAAAAGAAATATTTTGTTTGTTTGTTTGTTTTTGTTTTTTGGCCATTCCTCGCGGCATGCAGGATCTTAGTTCCCAGACCAGGGATCAAACCCGGGCTCCCTGCAGTGGAAGCGCAGAGTCTTAACTACTAAACTGCCAAGGAAGTTACAAGAAATAGTTTTTAATTTTTTTTTTATTATTTTTACTTTTTATTTTTATTGGAGTATAGTTGATTTACAATGTTGTGTTCGTTTCAGGTGTACAGCAACGTGAATCAATTAAGAAATGGTTTTTTAAATTAAAGGTTGCTTTTCTTTTTATATGAAATGGCCATTTATAATACCATTCTAGAAACCCGAATTATAAATTACAACTGTTGTGCTATTACTTGCTTTCTTCTGTTGTTCACTAAATAGTCGATTTAGCCATGTCAGTCTGAGTTCAAAACTAAAAAAGAGGGGCTTCCCTGGTGCCACAGTGGTTGGAAGTCTGCCTGCCAATGCAGGGGGCACGGGTTCGAGCCCTGGTCTGGGAGGATCCCACATGCCGCGGAGCAGCTGGGCCTGTGCGCCACAGCTGCTGAGCCTGTGCTCTGGAGCCCGTGAGCCACAACTGCTGGGCCTGTGTGCTATGGCTGCTGGGACCCACGCACCTAGAGCCCGTGCTCCGCAACAGGAGAGGCCACCATGGTGAGGGGCCCGCACACCGCAAAGAAGAGTGGCCCCTGCTCGCTGCAACTGGAGAGGGCCTGTGCACAGCAACGGAGACCCAGTGCAGCCAAGAATGAATAAATAAAATAGATGAGTTTAGAAAAAACTAAAAAACAATCAAATTGGTGCGTTTGGTCATCTTAACTACTAACTTAACCTCGCTTCTAAATTACAGTTGATAACATTTGTCTTGCTTAAGTGCTGGTTAAGTTGACTGTATGTACCATATACACCTGCAACAGGAAACTTTCCTCTTGATTATAGCAATAAACACTGGACTCTCAGTACATGTTATAAAAGACAAAGTGTTTCTCCAATGAAAAAAGTTTTGGGGATAGCAGAAGCGTTTGAGCTGTTTATAACACTGTATTAACAGGAGCTTTTTCCCCCCTTCACATTTATCAGCATTGGAGAAACTAATGTAGAAAGAAAGACCAAGAAAAAAAGGTATGTGTGGCTTTAGTATTATATAGATAATATATAATACTAGTTGGAGGGATGGGGTGTGTGATTTTAAAATAATAGTTACAAGATTTGGATCTGAAGTCTCTTGTTTTCAATTCATGATTAAATATCATCCTGTTTTCTGATATGTTCCTCTGTTTACCTATCTGGAGTTTCTTCATTTATCCTTTTTCTCCAACTTTCTAGAGTCCTTATACCTAGAATAGTAAGTAATTTCTCTTGTCTTAGATTAGGAAATATTATTAGAGTGGTAAGAAATTATTGACCAGCTGTATCTGGTATAAAGTAGTTAAGGTTATGAAGCATTTACCACTCTACATGAGGTTTAAGTAAACCCAGTTGTTAAACTGCAACTTTATTCTAACATCATTCACTCTGGAGCATAGTATAGTAGGTACACTTATCTCAGACTCCATCCAAGAGAGTTAAATTGCTGTAGTAAAAGACCTTGTGGTTGAGGGGAGAGGGTGAGCACGGTGGGGTTATTACAGTTAGGCAATCCTCAAAACATCAAATCTAGAGATAACATGCTAGCAAAGCTTCAGTATATATGTGTATATATATATATATATATATATATGTATATATATATATATATATATACATAATACTCAAGTGAAATTGCTTTTAAACATTCTCTTAAATGTCAGCTTCTCATGCATATAATTGTCTAATAGGTCTAAGAGTGTAACTAGTTCCAGTAGCAATAGCAGTGACAGTTCAGCCAGTGATTCTTCGTCAGAGAGTGAAGAGACCTCTACCTCATCCTCCTCAGAGGACAGTGACTCTGATGAAAGCTCCTCCAGTTCATCATCTTCAGCTTCCTCCACAAGCTCTTCCTCGTCCTCCGATTCAGACTCAGATTCCAGCTCTTCCAGTAGCAGCAGCAGCAGCACAAATAGTAGCTCTGAGGATGAACCACCAAAGAAGAAGAAAAAGAAATAGAATTGTTGCACCCATGTTGGACTGATGGACTAAAAACATTAATGCAATTCTCAGAAGGGAATTTAGAATGTGTTAAGACCAAATAGGTTAACTGATGAAAATTTTTAGAGTTCAAAAGTTTCTAAATGTTTTACATTGTAAGAGCATAAAGAGTATTAATAATGGATTATATATATAAAGACTTTTTTATTTTAGGGGTGAATCTTGGTTTTTTTTATCTTTAAAATATATCTCTAAAATTAATCAAAGCTGAAATCTAGTAAATCTTTTTGTGATGAAACCTGTCTTTTCTCCCTGTGAAATAAATGCCATACTTTGTTACATGTTAGTGCTATGTATCAGACATGTTTTCAGGATAATGCATCAGAATATCTATCTGGCAGTGAATTTCTAATGCTTTTGGCTGTATGTTACTATGTAAGATTTAATACCTCTATAAGCTTAGAGTTTTCCTACTGTTAATAAATGTGCTCTATTTTTATGTTTATGTTCAGAAAGTTGTCCTGACTTCTTCTCCTAAGTGAAAAGTTCAAGGAATCTATTAATAAATTTATACCTTTTAGATGGTACAAGTTTTAAGTTACTGTGTTGTATCATTCATTTTCTTCTGGTTCTTAGAGTTACCCTTTTATGACAAAAATTATTCTAGAGGAACTTAAAAAGGAACAAAATTCTGAAACTACATAGAACTCTAATCTTGGTGCCTTTTGATAAATTCATTGTATCAGAAAAGAAAACAGTCATTTAAAAAGCTAACTTAGGGCTTTCCTGGTGGCACAGTGGTTGAGAGTCCGCTTGCCAATGCAGGGGACGCGGGTTCGTGCCCTGGTCCAGGAAGATCCCACATGCCGCAGAGCGGCTGGGCCCGTGAGCCATGGCCGCTGAGCCTGCGCGTCCGGAGCCTGTGCTCCGCAATGGGAAAGGCCACAACAGTGAGAGGCCCGTGTACCGGGAAAAAAAAAAAAAAAGCTAACTTAAGTAAAAGTGATATAAATACCTTTGTGTGTTGATATGCTATAAAAGGTACCATTCAAAGGGGAAAAAAATGGTAGGAGGAAGAGAGGTAATTTTTACAGAAAATTAGAGTGATGTTGGTTGCCTTTTACTAAAATATTAAGTTTTCATAAAGATTGCCTTTTACCATTTTGCAATTGTGGTATGACAGTTCATATGGTAACTGGTCGTATATGACAGTCTACTGCATAAATATGAATGACTTGGATTAATCTGGTGTGTTGACATAGCATATACACAGTTGAAATCTAGCATGAAAGTTTAAAAAGAAATACTGCACAGTATTTCTTAAAAGTAAAGTACCAGGCCATGGTGAAATTATTTGGTTTAACATCACATTATTTTGTGATGTCTTTTAAACTTTTTGGAAAGAGGTATCATTTGTAGAAAAATCTTGATTTGGGTTAAATATAGGTTTTTAAAACTACAGATGTTGTCTTTTTATATTTTTATGAAAAAGCAGTAGAAAATTACTTTTGAAGAAAATGGACTTCTATTTAAATGTTTAAATATGTGTATGTTGTGAGCTTAAAGAGCTGTAATTACCTGTTTTACAGAACCGTTGCTTTCAATGATTGTAAATAAACTCTCAAAACATCATTTTAAGGCTCCATACAGAATGTGTCAATTGACAGGCAAATTTAATAAATTACTAACGAAATACAATTTACAATGTAATCTCTGTAAGGGCAATTTTAGCAGTTAAACTTGGAAGGGAAACAAATGTGTACATAGGTTACATCACTTGCAGTTAAATAAAGCTCAGTTTGTGCTGACGAGCTTAATAAGCTGCTTTTATCTCTTTGCTGTTTTACTTAATGCCACTTCTTATCCATTTACATGGTAAGAGCATTTAAATTCTAATTATTTTTACTTACTATTACAGATGTTAAAAGGTATACCTGGGAAAGTACAGAGGACAGGAACTTTATTCTAGTCACACAGTTTACTCAAAAAAGCAGAATCAGGGCTTCCCTGGTGGCGCAGTGGTTGAGAGTCCGCCTGCCGATGCAGGGGACATAAGTTCGTGCCCCGGTCCGGGAAGATCCCACATGCCGCGGAGTGGCTGGGCCCGTGAGCCATGGCCGCTGAGCCTGCGCGTCCGGAACCTGTGCTCCTGTGCTCTGCCACGGGAGAGGCCACAACAGTGAGAGGGCCACGGACCACCCAAAAAAAAAAAAAAAAAAAAAAAGCAGAATCAATGGCAAAGTGGAGAGTAACTTCCAAAGAGTTTCTCCCCATCCTGCCTAAAAGCAGAACTCTGGATGTTGAATCCCTGGCAAATGTAATAAATGTATTATTTCTCAACCACAACCACAACCACAAACATATCAAAAGGAGACATAATCAGATCATAGGTTTCACTCCACAAACATTTGTTAGTATGACTATATAATATAGTAAATTTGTCTTGGTATCAAAAGATGGCATTAGGCCAAGTTAGCACTGGAAATGGAAAAAAATACAGAGAAGGTGTACTTTATAGTCATGGTTTTATTTACTTTTTTTTTGCAGTACGTGGGCCTCTCACTGTTGTGGCCTCTCCCATTGCGGAGCACAGGCTCCGGACGCGCAGGCTCAGCGGCCATGGCTCACGGGCCCAGCCGCTCCAAGGCATGTGGGATCCTCCCGGACCGGGACATGAACCCGTGTGCCCTGCATCGTCAGGCGGACTCTCAACCGCTGCGCCACCAGGGAAGCCCTACTTTTTTAACTTGCTATTTTGAACTGACTGTAGATTTACAGAAAATTTGTAAAAATATTACAATTTCCGTGTATACCTCACCTAGCTTCCCCTAATGTTAGCATCTTATATAACCATAGTACAATGATCAGAACCAAGAAATTAATATTTGATAAACTACTGTTAATTAAATCAAAAGCCTTGATTTCATCAGCTTTCCCAGTAATGTTCTATTTCTGTTCCATTATATTACCCAGAAAGTACATTTAGTTACTTCTAAGTCTGAGGCTAAGTTCCTTAGTCTTTCCTTGTCTTTCATGCCCTTGTTACTTTTGAAGAGTATTGATCAGTTATTTTGTCTAATGTCCCTCAATTTGGGTTTGCCTAGTGTTTTCTCATGACTGAACTGATGTTATGCTTTTTGGAAGAATATCACAGAAATGAAGAATTCCCAATGTCAATAAGTCATTTAGTATTGGTGATGTTGACCTTGATTACTTGGTGAAGGTGGTTTCATCAGGTTTCTCCATTGCAAAGTTACTGTCTTTCCCCTTTTAGTTGATAGATATCTTGGAGGAGATACTTTGAGACTGCAAATTGTCCTTACAGTCAGCCACTACTTTTAGTGGATCTTGTCTAGAACAATTATTACTGTGATGTTTTGCAAATGGTGATTTTCCATTTCCCGCTTTACTTCTACACTAATTGGAATTATACTCTTAAGGAAGAGCTGCCTCTTCTCCCCCATTCACTTAATCAATGGTACGGTGGACTCCTGGATGTTTATTTTGTTCTGTGGGTTAAAATTCAATAATAGTGTTGCTTTGTTGCTCAAATTCTTCCACCTTTGGCTATTAGAAGAGTTCCTTCACGTAGGCTCCTTCATTCTTTCAACAAAACCTCATCTTTTTGTTAGGACTTCCTTACTTTGTGGGACCACAAGATGTTCCGGGTTCATCTTGTGGACTTCTTGTCCCATCTTTGGAAGCAACCACTTCTCCAAGGGGCCTGCCCTGGTTTTTAATTAGAGAATGGTGTTTAGAATCCATGATCTGGGTGCTGTCTTAGTAGGTTTCTTATACATTTTGTATAATAGTGTTCTAAGGTAGGTAGTTAAGACATGGAGACCTGCCATTAGCAGGAAGAAATTAGTTAATTCAGCATTTCTCAGCTTAGCTTTTTTTACTTTCACAGGACTCTTCCTCAGCAGCAAAGCTCTTTGACAACAGGTGGAAGAGACAAAGTCTTTAATTAAAACTTGCCATTAGAGACTTCCCTGGTGGTCCAGTGGTTAAGACTCTGTGGTTCCAATGCAGAGGACGGAGGACGAGGTTTCGATCCCTGATCGGGGAACTAAAATCCCACATTCTGCGCCATGCAGTCAAAAAAAAAAAAAAAATTTGTCATTACTTCCTCCCATCCCCCACTCTACAGTATATCTAAATTGAGACATAGGCCAAATATATATCCATATTCAGACCTTGGGTTATGGTGCCTTAATTGAAAGAAATTGGCCCAAAGTAATATTTCAAATTGTATTTTTATATACTGTCCTGTGGGTTTATACATCCTGGGAAAATTGTGCCATAAAAAGATTTAGGTGTGGCGACTTTCCTGGTGACACAGTGGTTAAGAATCCGCATGCCAGTGCAGGGGACATTGGTTTGATCCCTGGTCTGGGAAGATTCCCACGTGCCACGGAGCAACTAAGCTCATGCACCACAACTTCTGAGCCCGCACTCTAGAGCCCGCGAGCCACAACTACTGAGCCCACTTGCCACAACTACTGAAGCCCACGCATCTAGAGCCCGTGCTCCGCAACAAGAGAAGCCACTTCAATGAGAAGCCCGCGCACCTCAACGAAGAGTAGCCCCCACTCTCTGCAAGTGGAAAAAGCCTGTGCGCAGCAGCGGAAACCCAAGGCAGCCATAAATAAATAAATAAAAAGATGTAGGTGTGGTGGTGATGGTGGTGGTGGTGTGTGTGAAAGAGGGAGAAAGGCAGTGTGAGAGAGGAGGGGAGAAAGGCAGTGTGAGAGAGGAAGAGAGAAAGGAAAGCCAGTACAATACCTGGGTTGCAGACATTCTCAGATGAATTTTAGGAGAGGTTACAGATGGAAGTTGAGGACCTGGAAATTGCCAATGTCCTCGAAAAGCCTTTTGTGTACCCCCAAAGACACTTGTGCATGCTATTCAAGGTAATCAGTAATAAACACAAACAGTGTAACTCCTATTTGGAAGGTACTGTACCACGATGTATAAATAACACTTCAACAGTGATTTCCTTGGAGTTCACTATCCGTTGGGGAGACACACACAAAATCATTGAGAGCAATGGAAAGAAGACTTTCATTGAAACATAGCAAATTGAACCCATGTTTATTACACACCTAACTAAAATGGTAGAAAAGAAACAAAGAGCATAAACCCATAAGGCAAAGAGAAAAGTAGAGGAGATGAAACATGAGAAATTGCAACTCTAGGAAGCTGGAAAGTTGATAGAATCCTGAATGCCAACTTAAACAACAAAACAAGGCCAAATTGTTGGTCTACAGTGACAGAAAGTCAACAGTAAGCAAACCAGTTTATGCCACAGAACTTTGCAAAGGCTCCAAACTTGCTGGTACCATACACTCGTCAGCCAAGGTGCAGGGAAGGCTCGAAGACAGAAAGAGTGGTGCTAAGTTTATGTAAGAAACTGTGCCACTGTGTACTCCTCTCCCGTTTGTGCTGTTTCAGTGGGTTTATTTTTATTATTATTATTTTTTATTACTTGAATGTGAC